TTGTTCTTCAAAGACAGCTAAAATAGATAAACCCTTTGCAAGTCTGAAAAAAGAGCCAAATGCAAACAGACAAGCTTAAGAATCAGAGAGGATATAGAAATAAAGTTACTGGAAAGATATAAGAGGATTATGAGATGCAACTCTTTGGAGACAATTTGAAAATGTAGAGAAGCAGATGATATGCTAATAAAATATAAATAAATTACCAAAATGACATAAGAAGTGGAAAACGGGAATAGAGCTTTCACTATTGAAGAGACTGGAAAGGTGGCTGAACCTCTGAACCTCCACCATTGAGAAAGGCACCATGTGGTACATAGGTCGGTTGTATCCAACCTTTGAAGAACATGCAATTCCAATTTACTTTAAAATACTTCAGGCCATAAAATCATGAAAAGCCCCCTAATTCACCCGATGAAATTAGTGTAACTTTTAATATCATATCCTTATAAAGCTAATATAAAAAATACTAGATTAATCTCACTTATAACAAGTTGCAAAATTCTACATATTAGCAAATATAATAAATCAATATTTCAAAAGAACAATATAGTATAACCAAGCAGGAGTTACTTAATGGCTCAATATCAGCACACTCATCAATATAATATAAAATAATCACAAATTAAAGGAGAAAAAAAACCAAGATCATACCAATAAAGGCTGAAAAGGCTTTAAAATTTAGCAGCCACTCCTAATAAAAATTCTAAGCATTGAGGGCATAATTTAAAAACATAAAAGACACTTTACTAAAACTCAACAACAAACATTATCCTAAATGATGATACACTTTTAACTGATAAATTAAAATCTAAAACAAGATAGGGATATCCTCTACCACCCATTATTAAACATGATCTTCGAGGTACCTGTAAACATGAGAAAGGAAAAAATTGTATGGATCAGAGAAAAAAGTTAAAATGACTCTCTTTTTTGCTGATTACATGATTATATACCTATAAAATCTAAGACTCTAATAAAAAATGACATTAAATGAATGATAAGGTTGTTGAATATATGATAAACAACAATCAAGTATATTCTGCTATGCTTAGAGAATGAATTTTAAATGCGAAATGGCCAAAAATAATCCATTCATAATAAGTCCAAAAACTGTACAATAGGAATTAGTTTAATATGAAACATCTATATGGAAAAGACTACAAAGTCTTATTGAAGGACGTAAAAATAGACCTGAACAAATAGAAAGACATATCACATTCTTGGACAGATAACTTAATATCCAAAAATATCCACTTTCACCAAATTTCACAAAATTAACATAGAAGTTGAATCTCAAAAGAATTTTCTGTTAATTTTATAACTTTGGTTTTGAAAGACTAAATAACCAGGAATAGCTAGGAAAACATACAAAAGAAGAAATGATACATAAAGAAAGTATAAAAAAAAAGATGACCCTGGGGATGTAGCACCAAGCCACTGCACTCACATCAGTGTGGAACAGCTGCAGAAAGAGACAAGCAGATCACTGGGACAGAAGAGGGGGCCCAGAAGTGGCTTACAAAAGCAGGGTAAGGTTCAATTCCGAGCTCAAAGATTAGATTACTTAATAAACCGTGTGGACACAGCTGGCTGCTAACCTGGAATATGGACAATAGCAAGAATGTAATAATGATGACAGCCAACATTTTCCAAGTGTTTCCTATGTGCTAGGACATGATTTAAACAATTCAAATTTATTAACATATTTAATTTAATTCTCTTACCAACTCTATTAGGTACTTGCAATTATTACTGCCATTTTACTGATGAGGAAACACAAGCTGACTGTGAAGGAATGGACCCAAAGTCACAATGCTAGCACGGGAGTGACTCGAGATGGAAACCTTGGCCGTGTACTCCAGAGGCTTTTCCTCTTCACCACACTACAGGCCCCACCTTTAATCCGCTCTCCTGAGGAACCTAGATGGGACTCCCATCTTGTGCCATATGCAAAATCCCAGATGAGTTAAAGACATAAATGTAAAAAGACAAAGAAAATCTTGCAAGAAAATATGAGACTACAAATCTAATCTAAGGGCCATGACTGAAAAATCCATCAGTAAGGAAAGAAAAGATAGATAACGTCACAGAGTTTTCTGAAGAGGTCATATCAATTTATACTCTTACCAGCAGTGTATGAAGGTGCCAGCTGTTCCACATGCTTGCCAACACTTGGTATTATACATCTTTTTATTTTAGCCATTCTAGAGGATGTGTAATAGTATACACTGCATTTATCTGATGACTATGAGGCTGAACCCCTTTCCACTATTTACTGACTATTTGGATATCCTCTATTGGGTTGTCTGCCCTTTTCTTAATGATTTGTGTGGATTAAGAGTCTATTGTCAAATATATTTATTGCAAATACCTGGCTTGCCTTTCTACTATTTTTTGACAAAAAGAAGTTCTTGATTTCAATGCAGTCTAATTTATCAAAATTTTCTTTTAGAGTTAGCACTTTCTGTGTCCTGTTTAAGGAATCTCTGCCTGCCCCAAAGTATAAAGATACTCCCCTATGTTTTCTTCTAAAACTTTTATCATTTTACCTTTCACATGTAAATCAATACTCCATCTGGAATGGATTTTTGTTATGGTGTATGATAAAAGTTAAAATTCACCCTGGGGGCCAGCCCGGTGGCGTAGCAGTTAAGTTCGTACATTCCGCTTCGGTGGCCCAGGGTTCGCCAGTTCGGATCCTGGGTGCGGACCTACTCACCGCTCATCAAGCGATGCTGAGGCAGTGTACCACATAGAAGAGCTACAACTCTACAACTATGATACACAACTACATACTGGGGCTTTGAGGAGAAAAAAGAAAAAGAAGAAGGTTGGCAACAGATGTTAGCACAGGGCCAATCTTCCTCAAAAAAAAAAAATTCATTCTGTTTTCCTCTATGAATATTGAGCTGACTCAGCAGCATTTATTGACAAGTTAATCAATAATGCTAGAAATCAGGACAGCAGTCACCCTTGGGGTACAGGACTAGTGAGTGAAAAGGGGCATGAGGGGACACAGATTGTCTGTTTAAGCTCAAGAGCCAATGAGAGATTTGTCAAAAAAGAAAAAAAAATTGCAACAAAGAAAAATGAAAAAACACTGATTTCCTTGATGTGTAAAGAGACTTACAAATTGAAGAGAAAAAGAGAACCATATCAGAGGGTATATGGGAAATCTCTATACCTCCCTCTCAATTTCACTGTAAACCTAAAACTTCTCTAAAAAAAAAATAGGTCTTTATTATATATGTATCTATGTGTATATATATGTATGTTTATTATATATATGTATATGAAAATATACATATGCATAAAGAACTTTGTAAATGCTAAAAAAATTTTTATCACACACATATACACACACACACACACACAAGAATGCCCCCTTTACTACTCCAGGATATCATGGTTTGAAAACGACATATGAGCCTCTCTCAGCCCTTGAGCAAAAACAGCAACAAGAAAATGTCACTTTACACCTATTAATATAGAAAAATTAAAAGAGCTTTAAAAACTGCCGCTAGCAAGTGAGTGGGAAGCAGCAGTCTCATACACTGCTGGTGACAATGTAAAGTTTCTCAGCCTTCCTGAAAAGCAACCTGATAGCTGCTTTTAAAATTACACCTATTTGGAGGGATCCTACAGTTCCATCCCCTGGTAATCTCTTCCTTAAGGAGAAAAGGCAGCAGTGCATAAAGATAAAGACACATGTAAAATAATGTTGATTACATCACCGTCTGTGGAGCAGAAATCTGTAAGCAAACTAAGTGCCCTTCATGGGATCCCACCCGGCCACCAGAGAGAAGTGCAGAGCCAGGGTGGACTTGAAGGGATCTCGTCCACGTTTCACTGAGCGAGACCACGATGTAGGACAGGACGCCCCATGATGACCCCATTTTTGAATAACAAAACACAGGAGAAAGTTACTGGGTCATTTTCCTGTGCGCACAGGGGAAGGGAAAGAATTAATGGGAAGGCCCAGGGAAGGGTTCAAATGAAAGGAAGCAGGAGGAAGGAGCCAGGCAGAGAAGGAAATGGAAAACAGCACCCGGGTGAAAAGCAGGGATGGTGAGATATGGTTTGGTCACATCTATGCATTCATGTAAACTTATGGATCCAGGTACACGTATGAATACATTGAGTGAGAAACAACACTTGCTGGTGCAAGGTCTGAGAAGAAGCCTCTCGGCATCCTATTCCCCAATTCCGTCTAAAATGGGAGCACACCACCCCTTGTGCAGTTCTACTTTCCGTCACAGCACTAACATCACATGGCATATGAGTATTACATCCTCATTTTGTACCCCTGTCTACTAAGCGTCTCCCCTACTCGACTGTAGGCTACATGAGGGCCAGGACCTCCGTCTGCCTCGTTCCCTGTTGCATCTCTCAGCCCAGGACCGTGCCCAGCACAAAGCCGGTGCTCAGTACTCCTCGCTGAAAGAAGGCAACAGGAATAAACAGGAAAAGGCTAGCACTTCCCTCACAAGAGAGCACAAGGCCTGGCGTGGCAGTAGGGGAGACTTTTTTCTCAGTAAGGTGAATGGGGGTAGTAGGAATTTGCATGGAGCTGTGAAAGAATGAAATATTTTTTTTCTGGAAATAGCCGGAAGAGGCTGTTTCAAAGGATATGATACAAGTACAAATATACTCAAATCAGATACAGAATTGAATGAAGAAATCAGTATTTAAAACATCTCCAGAAAAACTGTAACAACTCTATTCAGATCTCATGAACATATATACAATTCGTATGATTCATTTCCTTCCAAAACTAAAGAATTCTCAAGAATTTCAACAGGGGCCTAGACTTTCTCTTCCTCTCTCCACCTTGAGCAACAACCACTGTGAAGCAGAAAGATTTAATTGCAGAACGATGTCTTTTCCAAAAAAATGCCCCATCTCCTCCATCTGAGTCCTCTGTGTCTACAGGCCAGCACAACACGACGTGTGTGTCAGGGCACAGGCAGTTGCCAGGTCTGCCCCAAAACACTTACGTTGCAGCCCTTGTCCGTGAGGTAACTGATTCCTTCTTCTGGGCCGATCGCCAGTTCCACTGAAATAATCCAGCTTGACTTTTGAAGGTGAAACAGGTGAGAGAGGTACCAGAAGGAAAAAGAAATATTTCAGATAAACGCCATGGACACATTAAAGCATCAAGGACGGGCTGGCTTAGCTTGCTATGAATCCATCTAACCAAATAACATAAAATATTTATCACTTCATTAATCCAGCATCTGCTGAGCCTAGACAGAGATAAACTGTGCTCATTCCAGTGGGTCTGAACCTAACGGCTTCTTTGGAAAGATTACTTAAAGAGGTACACTAGCCCTTAGAGAACAGTTAATCAGTGAATTGTTAAGCTGGAATTGAAGAAATCTAATTATGAATACAGGCATGCTACTAAGGAAAGATGAGTTTACTCTCCCATTGATCATTTTCTTTTTGCATTTTTCCCACTGTAAAATGACAAAATAATATTCTCATGTTGGTAAAATGTGACAAACTAGATTTCAATCAGAAATTTTAGACATATGCGGATAAGAAAAAGCAAAAGAAATCACACCTAATCCACTCTTTCCACGTCCCCATACTTACACCAAGAGCACACTTGAAGCATTCTTTATCAAATCTGTACACTGGGGAGAGGATTTCAAAGAATTTCAGAATACTTTCTTCTCTGTTAAGGTTGGCAAACTGTCTAAACGTCTGCTGGATCAGTTTTCTTAGTGTCTTGGCCTGCACGATAAAATTATAAAAATCTTTTTAGAGTCAGCAATGAGTAAAGAGCACAGCAATAATAGCTAGCATCAACGATTTCTTTCCTACCCACCACCTAATACCACCTATGTTCACATTACTACAACACGTCATATTTATCAAAGCTTTATTTCTTTTTTTAAGATAACTGTAATAAAACACACATAAAGTATACTATCTTAACCATTTTTAAGTGTACAATTCAGTGGTTTCGAGCTTTATTTCTTAAATAGAAATTTGTAAGGAAATAATTTGCTTATTAGAACATGTGTTAAAAAGTTGGGCAATAAAAATATGTGCTGTATGTGCACATGATGGGGCGTTGGCCAAGGTGAAGGTACAAAGGCACTCACACATTCCACTGTTATGAGGCTAAGTCGATACAACCTTTCTGAAGGGCAATTTGGCAACACAAGTCAAAAATCTTAAAATCCCCAACTCTTGATCCAGAAATTAAAATCCAAGGACATTATTCTTTAGAAATGATTACAGAACTATACAAAGATTCAGCAACAAGGAGGCTCACTGCAGAACTGTTCATAGCAACACATGGATGGGTTACACACTTCATGGTGTCTGTCTACCCAATGTTCTGTGCAGCCCTCAAGACTGTTGTGTGGAACTAATTTACTGACGTTAAAATATGTATCAAAACATTACATGAAGAAATATGACAAAACAACCTGTACATACAGTACAGATGCCTTTAAAAGGAGAGCATCAGAGATGGGACTCATACACAGACACGTGTGAGCACAGGTGTCAGCACACACGCATCAGTGAACAGTGAGGGAGATAAACCAACTACACCTCTCTTTTCTGTGTAGTGGGATCACATGTAATCTTCTGGCCCATTTTTCCTTATTTGAGTTTTCTAGTTACGCACTGTGAGCATCTGGATACTGGAGGGAAGTGCTCTCCAGGCAGCAAGCCCAAAGTCCACGGGGTGTCAGAGGAAGCCCGAGGAAGCCAGTGGGCAAAGGATGCGTGATGAGGTCTAAGGAAGACGGGATGGAGGATGCCAGGCTACGGTAAGGACTAGGCTTTCACTCTGATGAGACGCAAAGTCCTTGGGCAGCCTTGAGTAGGAGTGACGTTATCCAACTTAGGTTTTAACTGGAATACTCTGGCCCCTGTGCTGCGAACAGTATGAAGGAAGCAGGAGAGACTCATAGGATGCTGCATAAGTGTAGAAGCAGAAAGGGGTGAGAAATCATATTCTAGATTTATTTTGAAAAGAGAACCAACAAGATATACTGATAGGTAAGAGTCACCATTGAACTGAAATGGGAAAGACTGTGGAGGAGCAGGGCGGCAGGTGAAGGTCTCAGAGAATACCAGGAGCCCACTTTAAACCTAAACGTGAGATGCACACAGACAGGAATCAAAGCCAAGAGGAGAGGACTAGGGGAGAGGGAGATGGAAGCCTGCAGCAGCCTGCTACTCTCAGCAGGTCAGTGAGATGGGGAGCAGCCAGGAGCTGAGGCCAAGGTGTGGCTGCTGAGGCATGTAGGAGGGGAACCAGGAGGGAGTGGCATACTTTGGTGGGGTCACGGAGGCGACAGCCTGCCTGGAGTGGTTCGAAGGTTCCAGTGTGGTCAAAGGATTACTGGATCTGGGACACCACAGAGAGTGAGACACGCAGTTACAGAGGGGCTGCAGTTACTGGAGGTGAGGCCCAGTGTAAGAGGCTGAGAGAGGGCAGAGGACAAGACTCCTGGAAGACACGCTCATCCTGTGTGTACATGCTACCATGCTAAGCAGCAGGAAGTCACAGTGAGGAACAACAGCAGAAAAAAACCAATGAGCTCGAGCAGCTGGAGCAGGGAGCAATACCCATTCAGGGCTAGTTTCCTATGGACACAGAAACAACCCTCGGGCTCCCCACCAACCAAATAAGCCTGGCCGGGAGTGACTGCCAGAGCTTTCTCAGGTCTGTACTCACAAGAGGGTTGTGAGCTCCAAGCCCACAGAATCCAACGCTGGACAAGAACCAGAAAATCCCTGCTGTCTGAAAAGAGCCCAGATTCGTTTTACCAGGAAGGATGCCTTAGAAAGCATCAGTTCTTTCCTATTTTCCCAGCGAGGGAAGAATTCCACAAAATCTACCGCTCTAGAATCTCTCGATATTAATCAATATATTTCCAGACTTGTAGGAACCAGCAAGATTGTTTTGCATTGCAATTCACCCCTATTTATAGAGTTTCATCATCCGCTTTGTGTTTGCCTAGATTCAGGAAACAAGGCATCTGTCTATCCATGCCATTCAATTTTAAACCAATTCATATACAGAGAGGTAACTACCCAGAATGTGGTACTTCTTCAAAATGAAGCAGTATTATTAGGTTGAATCATCAGAAATTGCTGCTATCCAGCCATTTTGAACTACAAAAATAATTTAGTATTAGTCAACGTAATATTTATCAGATGCTGCCAGCAACAACGGACTCCTAGCCTTCCTAGATGAAAAGGTTATAATGTAAAGCCAAAGAAAATCTGCGATGAAAGAATAATAGGCTGAGAATATATTAATTGAGGAATTATCTTATCTGCCCACCCATTAAATGCTAAATATAGATATGTTAACAGTGCATGCAAAGTGTGCTTCTTTTCCACCCTCTCTACAGGGCACTACATCAGATGGTAACTTGCCCTGCAGACACAGCTTTCCTGCCCCCTGGCACCCCCTCAGTTCTGGCACACAGCAGATGCCAGGAACCCACTGCTGAATGACTACTAAGCCAGGCATTCCTGTGCTTGACAAAAACATTAAGTCTGCAATGGGCACCTGCTGATCGTAGAAATGAAAATGATAACTACTTTCTCCAAGAATAAAACTAAATGTTCCTGATGGTACTCTAGGAAACGGCTTTATTTTATCACTTGGGAATTGTCCAGATACTTCAAAAAATTGACAACTATTGATCTCTTAACATTTCTAGTTCTGAATTTAGATTTCTACTGTGAGTTACATTCAGATAAAATGAAATTTGGCTACTTCGACTTGCTACCTCATTTTAGATTTACAGAAGAGCTGCAAAGACAGTACAGAGTTCCCTTAATTCTCTTTACCCAGCTCCCCTAAAGTTAACATTTTACATGACACAGGCACAGTTGCTAAAACTAAGAAACCATCATCCTACAGTACTAGTCACTGAACTACAGACTTTGCACAGATTTCACTAGTGTGTCCACTCATGTCCAGGATCCCACACTGCTTTTACTCAAGTCTCCTCAGTCTCCTCCAGCTGTGACAGCTTCTTGATACTTTTCAAGATTAAGGATCAGAATATTGCAGAATGTGCCTCAATTTGGGTCTTACTTGTTAGTTTTACTAGTATAATGTTTTAAAAAATGTGTCGCTGGCACTACTAAGACTAAAGAGACAGAAATTTAAAATATCTTATAAATTATTCTTAGTATTAAGGCACATACATCCTGATTCTGTTTTGCCATCAATCATAACTTATTTAAGTTCATTTCAACCCTTCAATGTGAGTGTTAACTATAAACAATCCTCTAGAAATCTAAATATGAAGGAAAAGCCACCTAAAACAAAATGGCCTTTGGAAGAGCATGTATTAATGGATCTAGCCATTTTATAGGGTTATTCTGGAAGAAACAAGAAGCTGGTGTGAATTTCTTGTTAGTTGAACTTTCACTGGCAATAGTGGGACTGTCTGAACACAACCTAATTTGTATTGTAGTTGTTACACACTGTAAGGGCATATGTTTACATGGGTACCATTTCCCAAAAGAGTTTGACAGCAATCAGTGCAATGTTGAAAGAATTTATGTAGAAGGTGAAGAAATTTTGGCCTAAGGATATGAACTGATTAAGCTATTTAAGCAGCCAAATATACATTATTTGTTTTACAAAGTTACAATGATTCCTTTCTTGTTAGAAAGCGTGTGAGAAATGAGTTCTACCAACCTTATTTATCAGCCACTAGATGAATCTGTACCTAATAGTAGCTAAACGTTAATTTTATTCTCCCTTACTTGCATCAAAATCAGCAGCAACTGAACTTAAAAAACACAACTGCTACGTGTTTGGTTTGTGAAAAGTTTTCTCAAGTTGTCCAAGGTCAACTCCATCCTCTCCACTCGCGTGGCAGCCACTGCACGCAGGCCTGTTCCCTGCACGTTTCGTTCACCTCCATCACCTCCAACTCTTCTTGCTTCCGGTCTTTTTGCTTTCTATCTGTCCTCCGTGCTGCTGTCAGATTTATAAGGTAAATCCGAAAAGTGATCATGTCCCTCTCCTGCTGCAAAATCTGCAATGAGTCCCCAGTGGCCCTAAATGCTCTGATCTCAGTATTCAGCCACACAAAGTGACCGCTTGCCCACAGTGATCGCACACTGTCTGAGCTCTGCACACAGACAGGGCTGACCAGAGAACCGGCTGCAACTCTAGGCAGTGGGAGCAGCACATGAGAATCAGCAGAAGTGTCAGGACAGGGAGGCCAACTGGGATGGACCCCAGGGCCAGCCTGAAAGACACTTGGAGGGAACGAATCCTGTGCAGGAATGGGGACTTTTTCGGAGTGGCGGCAGCATACCCAGGGAAGCAAACTTCTCTAGCTTCACAATTTTACTATCTTCTCAAAGAGTCTGACTCCTCCTATCTTGATGCCCTTTTTCACACTGTACCCTCTACCTAGAAAATGTCTCTGTAATTCTAGTCATCTTTCAAGTTGCCCTTAAAGTCATTTATTCTTTCATTTACTCATTTCATTTCATTTAAATAAGGTTTACCAAATGCTACTACATGCCACGTATTGTGCCCAACACAGGGTTTAGAGTGGCGAATGCAGCAGATATTATCTTTGCCCTCATGGATCTACACATATAGTGGAGGCATGCAAGACAAAACGCAAACAAGTAAATAATTATGCAATTAAAAACTGAGAAAGTAAAATTAAAAATTAAGATACTGAGCAGATCCTAAGATAGAGAAGAACATTTCTCCATTTCTACTTAGGGTGGTGAGGAGACTGTATGAGAGAGCACTGAAGCTGAGGTTCAGAAGAGCCAGTCATGGGGGAGACCGGGGCCATGGACAAGGGTCAGGCCAGTCCTCTGACAAACCTGCTAGGGCATTCTGTGTCACCTTGGCTACACTTACACCATGGCACCTGTGACCTGTATCCAGGGTGCCCTGTTTTGACTGCAAGGATCATTCATTCATTCATTCATTCATTTTTGTGTGTGTGAGGAAGATCAGCCCTGAGCTAACATCTGATGCTAATCCTCCTTTTTTTTTTTGCTGAGAAAGACTGGCCCCGGGCTGACATCTGTGCCCATCTTCCTCTACTTTATATGGGACGCTACCACAGCATGGCTTGACAAGTGGTGCGTCAGTACGTACCCGGGATCCAAACCTGCAAACCCTGGGCAACCGCAGCGAAGCACGTGCACTTAACCACTTGCGCCACGGGCCGGCCCCGAGGATCCTTTTTAAATGTAGAATAATTTCTTGGACTCCCAAATGACAGCAATCATACCTCTCGTGATAACTGCTTATCTACATATAGCTTTGAGGAGACTTTGCAATAATTCTGAAGCCACCAAAGGCCTCACATTTGAGAACTACTGATGATACTATTAATACGATATAGCCGTTTTCAGAGACTTTTCTGCTTTTTAATTTCACATTGGGTAGTGCACTATGTTATTCAATGAAAACATAAATGCACTAAAGAACTATGTCTTATGCTTGTTTGAATGCCTGCTCCACACCCAACCCCCCAGCAAACTGCAGATTTATGCATAGAGGTATCCCTTCCACTCAAGGATCTTCCCATGCCTTCTTGGTACCCACAGCAGGGACTCTCCATATCAAACTGAGTCTTCTGTCCTCGCAACTCCAAGAGTATGGCCACCTGGCACCCACAACTTTCTGGAAGGACACACTCTGCCATTCTCATGTTCCTCCAAGTACTCTGGATTTCACCTCCAACCCACCATGGTAAATTTCACTTGAAGCTCTTTGTCCTCTGACTGCCGCACCCGAGCCAATTCACTCATGCCAGTGGTCTATGCGCTACTTGCCAGTTGCAACAGTGTCTCACCCATCTCTGTACCCAGCCTTTACCAACTGCATGGCATGTGCTGGAAGAGCTGGTTCTCCCACAGTTCACTCCAGCATTTCATCAACAGATCAAGAGACGTTAATGAAAATAAAGAAGCAGAGTAGTGACACTAGGAAAAGGGCCTGACACATTAAAGAAGAGTACACTTCTCCTCTCCAGTTCTTAAACACGCCTTACTATATTTGTAGACTACTGTATACTTTAAAATGAACACTTGTGTACTCACTTCCCATTAGATTATCAAGAAGCTATGTCAGAAAGGGAGGGCTATCATTACTTAGGCTGAGTAGATAGGTTTTGGGGAAAATCAATGACAAGTCCCTACAGTCCTGGTCTTGATGGGACAAGAGCAAGCAGAACCCAGACATCTGAACACAGGGCTTTTGTCACAGACTGCATTTTATACCAAAACTGTGACCCAAAGACAGGCAACGAAACAGAGTTGACCACATGTAGAGAACAGACAATAACAGCACAATTGCCAAGAAACTCTTATATGGAAATGTGCCTCAGATTAATGCAATAAAAACTGCTGGATTTGGCATTTTATCATTCTTAGTAATAAGGATGATGCTCATCCTCCTCTTCATACTAGATAACATCTATTGAATTCTTTCTGTGATCACTGTTCTAAGAGTTTACACTAATTAACCAATTTAATGCTCACATGAACTCCATGTGTCAGAAAGTGGTTTTATCCTCACTTAACAGATGTGGAAACTGAAATACAGGAAGATTAAGCAACTTGGCTAAAGTCCCACGCAATTCAAGTTGATGAAGTCAGAATTTTCACAAGGCAGTTTGGCTTCAGAGTCAGTATTTGGAACCATTATGCTACATCTCTCATGACATACATCTTATCCTGCTTGGGCCTCAGTTCATGGGATGGTCTTTCATATGGCGGTTCTGGTGTAGAACATGACTTTTGTGATAAAACGTTAGAGCAGTAACAGCCACCACTTATGAACTGCATTGTGACAGGTACTGTGATAAGTAACATATATACATTAATCTGTTAAATATTCACACCAACCCTACAAAATATTATTTTCTTCATTGTAGAAATAAGAAACCAGGCCCAAGACCATGAGGCTGGTAAATGGCTGAGCTCATATGAGCCAAACTCGGTCTTGACCCAGAGTCTGTGTCATCCCACCACACCTGAACATCCTGACACAGATAAGAACAGAGGCTCTGCCAAAGTTACTAATGAGGAGGAGGGTCCATGTAGTTGAAATAGGAGAAGACAGATCTTCAGAACGCACTTACACGCACAGAATGCACTTACACGCACAGAATGCACACACACACTTCAGCTACCACTACGATCCTTTTATGTACCGCTGTGTTAAAATGCCTGAGACTATCAAGACCCAGGGGACGAGGACTACTGCGCACGCAACCGTCTTAGTTTTGTACTTAGCTGAGTATCACACACAAGCAAGAAGTGAAACCATGGTTTTGTGGGAGAACGCTGTACCCAGAAAAATCTACTTGCCATTAATATGACTAGAATAACTCTTCGTTTTTTACTAAGTTATAATTGTAACTTTTACACATAAGGGGGAAAACCACATCATTTTGTTTTCCCAAAGCAGTCACCATGGGGAAGGTATTTGCATAATGTGGTCGTCTGATTATGATAAAGCAGACTCTAATTACCTTGACAGAATCCAGTAAACTCCTAGGGAAAAATCGCTTCAAACCAACATCTTTTCTGAAATATAAAAAGAAGCATATTAACAAATCACACCACCAAATCAACTAATATAATGACATTATTGCAAGAACACAAAAGCAGTTTAAATTATTTATTCTTCCACATATTATTCAGGAAGGAAATAAGTATAAAGAAGTTCCAATTTACCAGCATATTCGTGGAAGGAGTGGGACAAATCATTTTCTAGATATGTGCAGAAACATCAACACAAGTTGGTTTAAGGAAAAAGTCTTTTGTCTTTTTCTTAAACTTTACTGTAGAAAACTCTTCTAAAATATTGCCTATTTGAAAATTACAACACATAAATAAACTATTCTTTTTTTAACACTGCTTGAAGGTTGGCCTTAAAAACATCAGTTCCAACTGCGTAATATTCCAATTTGTAGAGAAAGTAGACTGGCCTGATTACAAAAAGATTTGGGATATACCATGGAAGTTTGAAAAAAAAAATCCCTTGGATTAATCCTAAAAGTTGACTTTTTTTTTTTTTTTTGGTGAGGAAGATTGGCCCTGAGCTAACATCCATGCCAATCCTCCTCTATTTTGTATGTGGGACACTGCCACAGCATGGCTTAACCAGCGATGTGTAGGTACACGCGTGGGATCTGAACCTGCAAACCCTGGGATGCCGAAGCGGAGCGCATCAACTTAACCACTATGCCACGGGGCTGGGCCCCTAAAAGTTGACTTTTTTTTTTTTTTTGGGGGGGGTGAGGAAGATCAGCCCTGAGCTAACATCCATGCCACCCCTCCTCTTTTTGCTGAGGAAGACTGGCCCTGGGCTAACATCCGTGCCCATCTTCCTCCACTTTATGTGGGACGCCACCACAGCATGGCCTGACAAGCGGTGCATTGGTGTGCGCCCAGGATCTGAACTCGGGCCGCCAGCAGCGGAGCGCGCGCATTAAGCACTACGCCACGGGGCTGGCCCCAGTCGACTATTTTTTAAAACAAACTTTTTTGATTAAGATATTCATTCACCTAATCAAAGTTTATCATCTCAGTTTCATACAGCAAATAAAAGAAATTAAGTGATGCGCCTAAGGTCAAAAAGCTGAAAGTGTGGAAATATTGGAAATTCCAGTGATTTTCTTTAGATCAGGCTACAAAATTAATCATTATTATCAAAAGCCTCAAAGCATTCTGGCCAAAGAAATAGATTGGAAAGAATAGCTTCTTTTTTCCTACTTACTTTGGGGACTAAGTGACCCAGGGTTTTCGGCCACTAGATGGCAATCGTGTGCTGGTAAAACGAAATACAGCCTTTATAGACATTAATGTCAGGAGACACGTGGAAAATAGGAAAAGATCAAGGAGAAAGGTGAAATACAGGTATGTTTTCAGAATTACATAAGGAAACAATAAACTAAATATAAAGTATAAAAAATAATAAAACGAGTGACTTCTTCATCTATAACTGAAAGTTAACTGGCATTATTAAAAAAACCACAGAAATCACGTCCGAGTTTACCATGGTTGATCCTATTTCCAAGCATTTTAATTCTCTATTCTATAAGCTGACTACCAGTTAGTACCTAAACCAATGACAACCTTGCTAAATCCAAAATTGGTCTCGGTTCTCATTCTTTTTTATTCTATTATTATTATTATGTTTGCTACATCCTTATAAACTTCTTTCTCGGCTTCTACGACATACTGCTTTCTGCTTTTACCTATCAGTTCATATAAATCCCAGTTTTCCCTGTACTTTTCTAGCCACACAAACACCTGTTTGGAACTTCCCTCCCTTACTCTCTCAGAGCTGTACCACCTACTGTGACATAGCATGTGAAGGGGCAGTGGCCACCCAAGCTCTTCCCTCTCTTGTGGCCTCCTAAACAGACAAGGACTTCGCATGTTTGGAATTTTGGTGCTAATCACTATGGGAAGGAGGAAAATAAGCACATAAAAGAAAAACACCTGAGAATCTTTAAGGCATTATTCCTGAGCATTCTCTTCTCTGTTTTCCTTTTCAGGCAACTCTTCCATAATAAAAAGCACTTATTTTCCTATCAGAGGGATCTGGACTGGAATCTTGGCTTTGCCATAGGATGCATTTGGCTATTCCTTAATACCTGTAAACAAAGAGAATGCTAATTCCTGCTGCATACGGTGGTGCTAAGGATGAAATAAGAATGTGTTAAGTCCCTAGAACTCGAAGAGTAGCTTCCTTTCCTCCAAAAATACCACAGATGTCTCTCCTGTCTGGTGAGAGTTTGATCCACACGCCTGACTACCACTGTTTCGAGCAGAGCAAGGTGTGACTTGATTCCGCCATTAGCTGAATATACTGTAATGGGGAGAGGAGGGTCTGAGCTGGAAGAGGAGGTGGGAAGGAGGCTCTCGCAGGGGCCCAGGGAAGAGACGGTGGGAGGGTGGGCAGCAGAAGTAGTGAGAAGTGGAGCGATTCAGACGTTTTGGACATAGAGCTTTACGGCTGGACACGTGAGAGAAAAGGGATCAAAGATGATGGAGGGAATGCTGACGCCATGTACCGAGAAGGAGAAGGCTGGGGGTGGGTGTGGGGCAGTTACCAAGAGTCTGTTTCAGACACGTGGGGTTTGAGCAAGGTGTGTAGGGATTTCAAGGAGGCGGTCGCCGCACAAGTCTTTGGAGGAGGGGCAAGACCAGGGCAGAGGCGATGTCCTCTTCCCGACCACAAGACTGGCAGCTGCCATCAGTCAGCCTGGTTATACATCTATTTTTCTTAGTCAAGTGGAAAGTAAAGAACTTATTGTACTCACTTCTGTCACAAATGGGAAAATTGATGATAGACCAAGGTTATATGTTTCAAGGAAAATGAGAGCGTATTTCTTTGCGAAAATGAAGCCTATTACTAGGTGTTACTTTTACTTCCAAGGCGAAGATAACACCATCTGAGAACAAAAAATCTAAGGCCAACTAATGCTTAGCAAGTATGCAGTTTAGTTTTTTCCAACTACTTTTAAGTTATAATTTGTCCATATATTAGAACTCTCTTAAATGGGACACCTGCCAAGTGAGAAAATAAAAATGAGGCTAAAGTACACAAAATCATTGGCAAAATTCACAAACACCACTACCCTTAACACATTTCCATTAATTTAATCAAGAAAAGCCAATCTACTTTAGGCTTCGTGATGGAGGACGCTGAGAAACTCTGAGGAGCACCTAAGGCACTCCTCACAGTCTGAAGGAGAGCCTATTATTAATAGACACCTAAATTTAAACCCTCTCCCAGGACCCCAAGCAGGGACATGCAGGCTGTCCCATTTTTAATACGAGGTGGCCTCTCTCTGTGCTGTGTGTGTCCTACTGGTTTATGATGTGCACTCTCATCTGCAGTGGTTCAGCTTTTAGCTTCATGTGGCATAAACCTCATTTGAGCCCAAACTCTACAAAACTGTGAGATAATGTGAATAAAACAATAAATACTACGAATACATCATAAACAAAATACATTTATTATAAGGCAAGTAATTTGGAAGGAGGTGGAGAGAGTTAGGATATCTCAAAGTTCTTGTGTTGTTTAAAAGAAGATAATTTTAAAACTTCTCTTAAGTTGATATAGAAAGTTAAAATGTAAAGTTAACTAATATAAGAATAGAAATAGTTTATAAATTTCCAAATCAATAGAGAAGAAGACTTGGAATAAGAAAACCACCTAAGAAAAAAAAAAAACCCAAACCACACATATACACAAGCCCCTCACCCCAAAAACAAAAACAAACAAAAAAGGGCAATAGAAATAAAGATAACACAAGCCAGTCCAAATAAATTAATGAATTGTTCATACCTAATAAATACAAATGTATTAAACTTATCAGTTAAAAGAAAGACTTGGCAAACTGGATTTAAGAAATCTAGCTCTAGAAATTTATGAGCGAACACACCCTAAAAAAATCTAAGGACGTAAAAAAATTGAAAGTAAAAAACGGAAAATATAAACTATGCCAATGCTAATCTAAAGAAGGCAAAACAGACTAAAACAGGGAAAAAAAAAACCCAAAACAAGAAAATATTATCAGGCATACTGAGGATCTCTAAATAATGACATAGCATTCAATTTACCAAGAAGATATAAGCGTTCTGTTTGCATGTTTAAATCAAAAACCTGAAAATATAAAGCAAAAATTAATAGACCTACAGGATAAAGTCAGCAAAGCCACTACTATATAGGGAGATACACACCTCTCTTAATCATTGATATGTCAAGAGACAAAATACCAGTAAAGACAGACAATTAACAAGCTTGACTAGAAAACACATTTTTTTAAACCACACTAAAACATTTATAAAAACTGACCACACAAAGCAAATACCGTCACGTATCACATAATAACGTTTTGGTCTACGATGAACTGCATACATGACAGTGGTGCCATAAGATTAGTACATCTAGCTGAGGTGTGTAGTAGACTGTACCATCTAGGTTTGTGTAAGTAGACTCTGTGATGTTCGCACAACGATGGAATCACCTAATAATACATTTCTCAGAACATATCCCCATTGTTAAAGCGACGCCTCACTGTACAGCAAAATGTTAATAACTGTAGAATCTAGGTGGTAGATACACGTGTTCACTGCATAATTCTTTCAACTTTTTGTATGTTTGGAATTTTATCATAATAAGATACTGGAGGGAAATGATCTTATACCAGTCCACAAAGAAAGTCTCAACAAAAGCAAAAGAAGTTCTTATCACACAGACCACTCTCTCTGATTATAATGCAACTAAGCTAAAAGTTAATTTAAAAAGATAACGTTTTAAAAAATCGACAAATTTGGAAATGTAAAAATAGAAATGAATCCACAGAAGTTTTAGAACAAACATCATGTCTTGAAACTCAAGAACCAAAATGAAAATAACTGATAGATTTTACTACATTAAAAAAAGAAAAACTTCTCATGATGAAAAGCCATATAATCATAGTTGAAGGACAAAGACAAAATGGGAAAGAACATATAGAACAAATACTACAGAGAAGATTAATATGACAAAGACCTCTTAA